AACCAAATTGGTTTGCAAATGAGTGCATTTTGCTGACGCTCAAATTTGTTTTTTATTAGTTTAGGTCGGCAGGGAAACATACCTATCTGTTGTGGATGACCGGGCCTTATTTGCTGCGTTTGAAGTAAAGATTGTAGGAGGTCCCTCCTCAATCAGCCTGAACTTACTATGCAGATTTAAGAATGAGAGCGCTACCGTATCTGAATATTTATGCCGGACTACGAACATGTCGGAGCGTTCAGGCAGTTTCGCTCAGTCGTGTATGAAATGATGATGCGACGGAGTTCAGTGATCGAGAACAGAGATGATTTAGCTGGCATCCAAAAGAACTCATCGTTAGCGAAGATGACAAAGAACGCTGCATGTAAGATGTACGGAGCTCCTCCAGCTGCAACGCCTCACTTTTTTCAAAGGGTTTCAAGTCGCTGGATGTATTCTTGTGAAAGAATTAGCTATTCCAATCTTCAGGTTAAGCAGAATTGGACTGACATATTTTGACATTTTCTTTCAATGCAGTGATTCATCTTTAAAGCACCCCTTTGAAGGGCGAGCCTGCAAATAAAATAACCCACAGAAGAGATAGAACAGAACATAACTGGAGGGGGTTGGAGCTCTCTTGAGAAGATAGTTTTACATTTGAGCGGGCATTTCGAGTAGATTCTCCTTTGAAAAACACTTTCTTGAGAGTGACTGTTACGTATACATGGTCACAGATCATGTTTATATGAGCGTGCTTGCCGTGTAACTTCAAGGAGATAGTGCGAAATCAGTAAACATCCTGCTGACAGAAGACTGAACAGAAAAGTACTGACGCCAACCTTCAATCTTCAGGCACTGAAGACTGAAGACTCATTCGAATACACTTTAAAAACCTCTTTTGAGATGGCTCAGTGGTTAGAGCGCGAATTTACTGACCCGAAAGCGCGAATTCACTGACTGGAAGGTCCATGGTTCGAACCCAACCTCCGCCTCTCGACTTCTTCTGTCTAGACTTGGGCAACCTGGTAGTATCCCAACCCTCGTACTTCCTTCTGGTGGCATAGCAGTTAGGCACGAAAGGGTGCTACAGCTGAACGATTTGTTTTACAGACATGGATAAGCGATCTCGTCTTGAGATCTCCTGTATAGATGATCCCTTAGTCATCTGTATAGGGAAGCTAAAGAGTCGGGCTGGAATCGCCGTGGGTAATGGACCTCCGGAGGGAGGTCGGGGTCGTCACCTAAACCTCCAACTGAAGGGTCACATAAATATCACTTAAACTGATACACTGTTATTCGTTTTTTCTGCCCAGACAATCTGGCTGAAGTGACCAAAAAACTGACCACTTCACACCGACGTAAAAGTGCACCATGACTAATGATTGGATACACCGTCTGCATACTTGGTCCGGACTTGGATGGTATGGGCGCCGTGAGTTGTGTGTTCAGAGTAAAATACAAGATACCAGAGAAGTCCGAATTTCGGCTACCAGAGACTCATTGACCCCACTTGCTACATACTGAATCCCAGTTACTCGGTATAAAAGGGCCATCTTTTTCGTTACTGTGCCCCCCCAGGAATCACATACGGGAAACCTACCACATGTACAACTAAACGGTGGAACAATGAATCTCACAGTTACCTTAATTACCACTCCGAATCCTGAAGCTCAAGGATGGAATCTCTGTGGCTGCCGATTGGCTAACCTATCTTGATAGGCCCATACCGCAATGAAAAGAACTCAAGAGTTCTGAGTGGTTAAGGCGAGGCCGTACTGACCCGAAAGTTGGTGGTTCTACCCCAACCCCCGATCTATGCTTTGGAAACTTGGCAGTACCTTAGCCGTTGTGGTTCCTTCGGGTGACGCTACGCCTTGGCCTTAGTCATCTGTATAGGGAAGCTAAAGAGTCGGGCTGGAATCGCCGTGGGTAATGGACCTCCGGAGGGAGGTCGGGGTCGTCACCTAAACCTCCAACTGAAGGGTCACATAAATATCACTTAAACTGATACACTGTTATTCGTTTTTTCTGCCCAGACAATCTGGCTGAAGTGACCAAAAAACTGACCACTTCACACCGATGTAAAAGTGCACCATGACTAATGATTGGATACACCGTCTGCATACTTGGTCCGGACTTGGATGGTATGGGCGCCGTGAGTTGTGTGTTCAGAGTAAAATACAAGATACCAGAGAAGTCCGAATTTCGGCTACCAGAGACTCATTGACCCCACTTGCTACATACTGAATCCCAGTTACTCGGTATAAAAGGGCCATCTTTTTCGTTACTGTGCCCCCCCCCCAGGAATCACATACGGGAAACCTACCACATGTACAACTAAACGGTGGAACAATGAATCTCACAGTTACCTTAATTACCACTCCGAATCCTGAAGCTCAAGGATGGAATCTCTGTGGCTGCCGATTGGCTAACCTATCTTGATAGGCCCATACCGCAATGAAAAGAACTCAAGAGTTCTGAGTGGTTAAGGCGAGGCCGTACTGACCCGAAAGTTGGTGGTTCTACCCCAACCCCCGATCTATGCTTTGGAAACTTGGCAGTACCTTAGCCGTTGTGGTTCCTTCGGGTGACGCTACGCCTTGGCACGCAAAGGCTATTACAACTGAACGGGACAAGAAAGAGACTAGCAGTTCTGGTTAACTATCAAGGCAGCGCAACATTCACCGAGTTGCGTCAACTGGGGCATCAGAGACACATTCCCCTACAGTCAAAGAACTGCAAATTAGGTACTTTCGACAGCTGTGACTAGAAGATCTCTCACTCTTTTGAAAACTTTACACTTCTAAATATTTTTGACGATGTATGTCTTCCTGGGGTCGTAGAAGTGACCTGGCTGCAAGATTTCTGCAGTGAGCAAGTTTATGATTAGTGAATCGGAGCCTCTAGGGCAACAGGGAACGCACGGCAAGTTATGGGGATGAAAACAGGCAATGCGTATGCGTAACCAGTGGGAAGTAGATAAAGCATTGTCCTGCACTTCAGATATTCGTTATCAATGATTCGCTTGGGACAAGCCATGACGCGAAATGAAAGCTGCTGATTTGGCCCTGGGCTCGGGGGTTTCTTTACGCCTTCCTTACTTGAATCCGATTGATATCCACGGTTGGAAGCCCTACCAAATATTGAGGGAGTCTTATTGGCACACGCCCACTCTGGCGAAGACCCGTCTGTCTGCGTATCTGCCTGCCTAACTGCCCGTCTACTCTCTGTCCTCCGGTCGTTTGTCTGTCTACCTGTCTGTCTGTCTATCTGGCTGCCAGCCAGCCTGCCTATCTGTCTGTCTGTCTGTCCGTCCGTCTATATGTCTGTCTGTCTGTCTGTCTATTTGTCTGTCTGTGTGTGTGCGTTTCTCTATCTATCCATCACTTGTGTTGGCTTACCGGCTGGTGAGGTCTTACTCCAGTGCGATACTCACATGCCCGTTGGTTTGTCCGCTGAGCTTCATAACTTGAATTCAGACGCTTCACCACCAATTGAGGTGACGTCATCAATGCGTTGTTAGGGTGTGTAGCGATGAATCGGTGGTTGTCAACCGCTACGCCCCCCAACAACGCACTTATGATGTTACCTCGATTAGTGCTGACACGTTTGCAACCAAATTGTCCAGCTCGGCGAACAAACCAACGACCATCTATGCTATCTGAGCTACCAACTTTCTCCTCTATAAAACGCTCAGGTGTTTTTTGCGTGAATAACCCAGGGGCATAACAGTCTTTATGATGTGTTGTATCTGCTGTTTCGCCAATCTGTTTTATCTGACTGCTGACCCGCTCCATCGCCTAGTGCCAGAGAAAAAAGACTCACAGAAGGGAACACAACACCCATATTCCGTCAAGCGAGTGCGAGGGCGTTGGACGGACACTTATTGGACGGACACTGTCTGAACTGAATCCAACGCTGACGCACACGGTCTGGCTTAGGTACGAGGCTGTGACGTGCTGCGTATACCGGGGGCGTTGTCTGACCTTGATCAACGATGACTCGCGCTGTCTGGCTTTGATACAAGGCTGTGAAGCGCTGCATACTGAGGGGGCGTTGTCCGTCTGGTCAACGTCTAGCGGAGTTGAGAGTCTCAGTAGATTTCGAGCACTCATTGGTTGCTTTCAGGAATCTGACTTTCCTGATATGATGCATGCCCTTGTTATATTCCTTTTTACTCATCATTAAGGCAGCTCAGTAGCAGTTTTTACCAGTGGTGTAGTACACTCCGTGATCGCAATGATATGCTGTGCTGGAATGTAATGTGTTGTGTTATCAGGACAACATCAACAAAGGTGCGCTTAGTTGGAGGACGTCGAACCATTAACTGACGTTGCACAAGCTTATCGCTGAGAGTTTCTCGTGGGAATCTATGCGCTCGGGTTGCACTTTCAAAACCTCGTTGCAAAGAGCAGTGAAATTCACTGGGAGAAAACCTCACATGACTATGCCTCAATGCGGATGGTTTATTCGTGTAGGCGATGTAGATTTGGCCACAGAGAATCGCGCCTGAATTTATCTGGTCCCTTCCAAGATTAAACGTCATCGGTTTGATTCCGTTTAATTCCGTTGGTCGTTCTCTATCAGCAAAGCTGAGAAATCGATGGAATCAAATCTATGTTGTGGAGAAAAACGAACTGACAGGAAACACTCGAAACGCGCCACTTCCAAATGTATTTTGGTAGAGGTGACGGACATCGCGACGGATAATTGATGGGGCCTCTTTGCATAGTAATTTGCTTCTGTTATGCAGTGAGTAGTTCTGTAGGTATTGAGTAGTGGAGTAGTTCCTGCGGATCTTACTGAACTCGGTTGGGGAAGCGCTTGACAGCAAATATGGCGCAAGTCGGGTCTTTCTTTCACACTGTTTGCTTGATTCCTACTGAGTATTTCATCTTTAGCGTGACAATATTCTGCGGATCACAATCAATTTTCCCGATTAAACTGTCCTCGCAACGCTGATTTGGTGAGATTCTTGGATGAACTTGTTTTTTTTGTTTTAATTATCTCAGTTAGAACTGTTTTGTGGCGACGGAGTCTTGCGGAAGAAGCAGTTGGCCGTGGAACCACCAGAAATTCTTTGTGTTTTTCTCAGTTAGAACTGTTTTGTGGCGACGGAGTCTTGCGGAAGAAGCAGTTGGCCGTGGAACCACCAGAAATTCCGGATAAAATAAACGATGAACAGTCTACGGCTGAAATAAAGAAGAGACAAGAGGAACTGGTGGAGTTTATGCGTAGTCTCGGTCAACGACTGACAACGTTGGCCAGGGAGTTGACAGATGTGGACCAGTATGTGTACAGGATTGAGGAACGGTTTTGTCGATCCGGAAGCAAGCAGAATCAAGCGACGACCGTGTGCTGGAATGGTACTCATTATGGCAGGTGAGAACCAGTATATACAAATATGTATACCGCAATTGAAGCCCTACTGTTGATCTATCATGTGTGCATCAGGTCCCCAGGTAATCAACGAAATTGTAGAGTTTGGATTTGAAAAGATTTTGAAGTAAAAGCATTTGCGGTTACTGAATGAGTCCATAATCCCTAATTTTCCAATCGGTATCGGACAACGCCAGGGCTTCGGTCACCAAACAAAAGGAGCACGTGGGGATACGAAAGCGGTTTTGTCTCGTTCTTCTATGATGATAAACTCGAGTGGGGGGATTGAAATGTATGTTGTTGGCTGACGGGTATTCACAAAGTTGGAGAAACGTGGTAAAATGACAGAGTCCCATTTGGCATTATTATTGCTTTTTAATATTCGTTAATTTGGTAGGCAAGAAGAGAGTTCACGCTCTGTAGTTTCATTGTCGATCGGTTTTCCGAAAAAGTAAATCACCCACGATAGATGAACTGATCACACTCCATAGGTGGCACTGGCTTGGTGACGTGATTCGTGTGACAGTCGATCAAATTCCTCGAAGGGATCTTTTCGCACCACCACGCGAAGAGTGCAGACGAGGTTAAACAATGACTTGGCAGCGAAGTATGAAAGCCATCGCCAGCAAAACCGGCTAAGCTGGTCGTTGCCGCCTCCCTGGGTGGAGACCCCGAGACGGGCCACATCAATGGTTAGACATATTGTCAGATATGACCTAGTCGCACAATCAATTCATCCAAGATATTGCCCTGAATGCACAGCTTTCTTCCCAGTCTCCCCACTTAAAAGTTCACTGATAAACCTGCACCAATTTATCAGCTCCCACCTTCAATGCGCAGCTTCTCACCCCACCTCATCAAATCATCTGTGAACGAAACTGTGGCAGCCACAACCGCTGTGTGACAGGTATGCGGTTCTTACAGCCTAACTGCCCTGCTACCAGAAGGAAGCACGAGGGTTGAGATACTGTCAGGTTGCCCAAGCCTAGACAGGGGAAGTCGAGATTTAGGGGTTGCGTTCTAGTCAACGAGCCACCTCGCCCGGTACGGTTACTGGCCGAAGGCAAATCCAAACCACTCAGCAACACGTCTTGTGCATTCGAACATCCATCCTACATCCGCCGTGGCAGCAAACGAGTAGACCTACTCAGCGGATAGTGGCTGATTCGGCCAAGGGTTACACTCTCGTGTACTTACTGGAACCAGAATTAAATTCTTATGCAGGCCTTTGTGCTACCTGTCACCTGAGCCTCGTTGAAGATGTCCGCATGTCTAGCCGAAATTTAAAAATGTTCACCGTAGATGAAAACACAACACGGTGAGTAGAGCTATTCTGTGGTTCGAATACATGGACAAAGGGCCTCAGTCGGTCACATTTCGTCATTACCCCCAATCCGACGACCATTACTGCCTTTAAAGAACGACAAAGCGCAACCAACTTAGGATAAAGAATATGAGCTACAGCGACCAGACTATCCTGGCCGAATAAATTCCGATCTTGGTCTAGCATAAAGCAACTGTGTGTGTGTGTATTATATCTGACTGCCGTCCCCGCTCCAGTGTCTAGTGTCGGAAAAGGACACGCCGATAAATAACACAACAGCTTTATTGCAACCAAGCGAGTGCGTGTCGGTTCACTGGCCTCGCACTGTGTTTTTTAAGGGCATTATCTGACCTCGATCCAAGGCTGCCCGATCGACGTTTAGTGGAGTTTTAGGGTCTCAGATGGTTTCGAGTGTTCTGGAATAATCTTTAGAATTCTACCTTCCTGGCAGCATGGCTGCCTGAACAGAGCACTCTACCGGGCCTCCGAATCACGTGAGAACATTATCAGCTCGTTCTTCACTTTAAATGTGCTAACGAAAGGACATGGCCTTGATCACAGCCTCATACTACTGATTGTAGACTTAAGCAATCGGAATCAAGTTACAGTTCCTGCATCTTCATGACACCAGGATCCGACCGAGAGGTACTCACACTTGCAGTGTTCCCAAGTGGATCTGCGTCTACGGATCTAAGACAGTTCGAATTAGGGTTAAAGAAAATATTTTGCGAGAAATGGATGAGTGACTCGCGACCCAAGTGTCTCGGTAGCACATCCCCCTCCCAGAGCGCGCGCGAGAGAGAAAGCATAAAGACATGATGGCGTTTACTTTCAGGTTTATTGATGCGATGGCCTATCCGATAAGGCATTGTGTCAGTCATTTTTCCCATCAGTTAAATCTTGTCACAGACGGGCGTGTGATTCTTTGAGCGCCAGGATTACTTGCTGTTTCTGAGTCAGTTTTCCGAGATTTCGATGCGTACTTTTGAGCCCTTCATTTGTTGTGAATATTCCTTTCATTGTATCATATTTGTTAGGCTCCGCGAATTACTAACTGGTTCACATACCGGAGTCTACTATAGAGGAAAATGTCAGTAGCTCAGGTAGCGTAGATGGTCGTTTGCTTGTTCGCTGAGCTGAACAATTTGATTGCAGACGTTTCACCACCAATCGAGGTGACATCATCAGTGCGTTATTGGGAAGCGCATTGGTACGTAGCGGTGGGTTAGTGGTTGCGCGTTGGGTAGTCTTACGCGTGTGTTAATATACGTGCTGCTAGCAGGGTATGACCTTTGATCGCGATTGGTTGTTCGGTCGGTCGGTTCCATTGGTTGCTCCGTTGTCCCCACTCGCCGGTACCCACGTGAACTTTGAGCTTGGCATTCCCTGCCATCGTAATCTGGTTAAGCCTGGACTGGCCTCAGTCCTTTCGAGTCCCAGCTCTATAATCGAGACCATTGACCTATCTACTGCAATATCGTGTGGAGGGTATCATGCAGTCATAAAGGTCGTTGCCATCTTAGTGCGTTCTTTTCACTCTACCTTGGCTACCTCTGATGAACCTACCAGGTGGCCGTACGAAAGAGTTCGGGGTTTTGTGACCATTTGACACAAGGGACTTCCTAAAAGCAACTGACATTTATCCGACAATGCGGATTTAGCATGGGCGATCGAAATGAGTTCCTTCAACAATGAAGAAAGTTTCCATGACTATTGGTGACGTGTTGAATACTACTCAGAATTGGACAGTGTTTAGCCCCCCCCCCCAAGCCGAAGCGATCAACATATGTGTCCACCAACAGTGCACTGTTTTCAAATATCACAGCACAACTCCGTCAGGAACAGTTCTCGGGCGCTTAGTCTGTCACCTGGATTTCCCTGTTCCTCGAAACAGCTTACCTCAAGCACGTAAGTTCCAGGAGCCACGTGTACACGGCGCACATACTGAACCACGGATGGTTTTTCTGTAATTTTGTTTGAACACTTCTGAACACGTTGTGTTCCATTTGGACGACAAAATTTAGCGTGAATATTCCGTGGAAGCACCCCGCTGTGGCTTCAGCGATTTCAGGTGTTCGAAGCGAAATAAGCTGACAGTGGATTCTTCTTTTCTGTGCCCGATGATCGAAATTGCTTTCCCACATACTCATATCTTGTATGAAAAACAATCCGCAAATGTCTTGTCTTCGTATCCCCCCACGGCGACTGTTTAACGCCATACATTGACCTGAAGCGATTATTAGTGCACAGGTGATGATAGCCGTAATACAAATCAGAAGGTATATGTGCACTAATAAAAGCTTTTAGTATTTCTGCGACACGTATAAAAATAAATACAATGTGAAATGGGAGCAAGTCAAAAAGGGAACTTATCGGATGCGAGAGTCCNTTATCGTATGCGGGAGTCCCTTGGTGAAAGTTCGGACGGCGGGAACCTGTTTTCTCCGCATCTTGGCTGCTACATGCATTCCATGATTGTCCGCGGACTTGGGAAGAGCGGTTGTCTTCCTTGCTCCCGGCGCGCGCGAGTCTGTGTCCTGACTGGGTTCGGTTTCCATTTATGTAGGTCTCACTGCGCGTCGGCACATGAGTAGTTGCTCACTAGACGGTACCGACAATCGATGTCCGATGAGGCACCTTAATGTGACGTGGTTTGTGAGTATAAAAAAGACAAGTCTCATGATCCGGTGAGCGACTGTGAGCTGAACAGTCAAAGGCGTGGTGACTGGGTAGCTACACGACCAGGTCAGCCAGATGGACGGAACCCTTTCTTTGGGGGAAAAGCTGGTCAGCGTTGACACGCAGTCAGCACACAACGAGCGAACCTGGCACGTTTTTCATGTTTGTTGTGGATAAGCTGATGATGACCGTTTTCAATGCGATCTAGTAGCTTCTTCGGCGGCGAATGGACAGGGAAAGTCTGATCATACGCGAACGTTCTGCGTCGGCAGATGTCACATGGCGGCAAAACAGAAGCCATGAGATTGTAACTGCCATTAAGCTGTCCAAAATCACCTCGTTTTAAACAATGACTTCGTGCCATAATAAGGTCATTCATGGGTTTGATCTGTTTGAACCTTTTCACAAAAGCGGTTTGTAAGACGAAAACAAAGCATGCGTGTCCGATGTATAAATTACAGTTTTTTTTAAATATCTTCCTGTGTCAGCTGGGGGAGGACCAAATTAACTCTTTTTCGGACGCCAGAATGTTAAGCGGAACATAAGATTGACGAAACTCGGCGACCGCACCTACCTGATGAGCCCCAAGAAGAGCGAAATCAGTCAAGGGCTGTCGATGGATTTTCAGCAACCTTATAAGTAGTGCATGTATGGTGAAACTACCGGAGCTGGAGACTCGATGGAACGTCTCGGATCCTAGGACTACGGTCGGATGCTGGATAGTTAACCTGAAACACCTCTCCGCCTCGGGAGCTTCAGACTTCTCCCAAGCGTCACGTGACTGCTAGTACGGGGAACCACCCATATTTGTTGGTTGTTGATCCGTTCGTTAGCAGTTGAATTGCAAACGTTTCGTCACCATACGATGACACGTCATCAGTGCGCACTTGGGTATGCATGCGAAAGAATATCGAGGCAGTCCGACGATAAAATTTGTCCTGGACCTGTTAGTCGGTCAAGGGAAAGCATTTTGTTCGCTCTTGGAATATACAGTTCTACG